TTCCTTTCTCTTTTTTCTCCTATAAAAGGAGATCATTCTTTCATTTGTAAAAACACAAGAAAATTTATACAATACAAAGCCTTGAGTTATCTCAAAGATGTTCTAATTTTCTTTTCTTCCCGAAAGGGAAATTCTTAATTGTTCTTATTCTTAGATAGAATAATATCCCACAAAAATATTTTGAGATTTTGATATTTTGTTTTAAACTACAGATAGATCATTCCTGTAGGTATGTTTATAGTTCTAAGATATGGTGCTAATAGTTAATATTAGTCCCAGATCTTTTAAGAACAGTTTCTGTTTATAAAATTTTTATGATTATTGTAAAGATTTTTATGCTTCATGCTGGGTATATGATAAGAGCATGTCTTAACTCCAAGTTAAAAGTTTAAACTGTTTTTAAAATAAGCCCTGAGTGATCTCTCAAAGCGTAAAGGCCCAGTGAAGAGGCTAGGATACGTATAGAAGAGAGAAAGGGATCACTGTTTTAAGAATTCTTGTTAAGGGAGTGCCAGTGGTGTCCTTACAAGAATGGAGTTAGGCCCAAGTTCATATATCTCAGATGGCATGTTTTAAAAAAAAAAAAAAAAAAAAAAAAAAAATTTTCATTTTCTTTAAATTTTTTAAAAAAAAAAAAAAAAAAAAAAAAAAAAATTTTCATTCTATTGCAATTTTTTAAGCTTGTATTAACTTGGTTATGGGTTCAGGCCAAACGTACGCCTTCGACTCTCCTTGATCTTCTTCATCCCGAGGCAAATCACCATTGTTGCTTGAACTCATGTTCAACCTGCTTGGCCTATTAGAATAATTATGAAATTTGGGCTTCCCATTTAATTGCAAATTATAAAAATTACATAAAAGCCTACTTTTAAAGATTCCGTTTCATAAATCATATGCTAAGTTTACTATTTCATAAATCAGATATTAATTTAATTATTATAAATCAATTTTTTCATATTAATCGTAATATTATAAATTAATTTATATACACACCTACCCTATTTACCGACCCTATTCAAACCCTAAAATCATATTTTCTCTCATCTTCTCTCCATTCTCTCAACCAGTTGACTCTCAACCCTCAGATCACCACCGCTACCAGATGCCACTCCAGCAATCTCTTCTGATGTGAGCTCCATCATCATGATGGCAAGTGATAGCTCAGCGATGTAAAGCAGCATTGTCACTGCTGCGACGCGTCATCGCACGACAATGTGAATGTTGCAAAGCGACTTTGCCCCTACTGCTACAGTTCGATGGTGATGGTGGTGCTACATGTGGTTGGTGCAGTTCAGTGTTGATGGCAGAGATGTGGACATTGCGATCGGCTTTTTGGTAATTTGTTGTATTTTATTCGATCTATTGGGCGTTGGTGCGTTGGTCAGCAATGAGGTGGTGATGGCTATGGCGGGTGTAACAACCCAAATTTTAACAATTTAAAACTGTTACTAAAACTTTTATTCCATAATTAAATAAATTATTCAAACATCCCAACATGAAAAAAATTGTTTCATCAATAAAATAAATAAAACCTATGGGAGACATAATTAATTGAAACATGTCACAAATCTTAAATATCAAATTTCACAAGAAATAAAACTAAAATAACGCTAAAAATAAAAGTTCATAGTCATGTTACTCCGGATTTATTATTTAGAATTCCATAATTTCTGGCATCACGACTCCACCGCATTGCCCGGCCACCAACGATCCGTTCTAATTTGTGAGGGTAGAGAAAAATGGTAAGTACATGGGAATATTCGGTAGGATATAAAAATTTATAGTGCAATTCTGAGTAAAAATTTTAAAACATGTATCGAAAAAATCTACTGTCTAATATCTTTAGAAACCAGTAAGAGCTCATATCATATCATATCATTTGTACCAGAATGACCATATCATTCATATCATAGCATATCATATCATATCTTTAGCTTTCATGATTACAATAATTCATCAATATGAAAAAATTTAAAAGGGATAGAATACACTGCACCTCGATATCCTACCTTATTAAATATAACAATTTTCTTTGGAAAAGCAGAATCCAAACTTTATTTTTTGTCTTTGTTGCTGCTACCACCGTACACGTATATATATGTTTTCTAGAGTTAAAAAATAAGAACTTTTGTATGGTATTTTGAGTTGAGTTGAAAGGAAAGTTGAATTTTTATAGGTCTAAAATTATGTCAAAAATCGTGTTTTTTTTTTTTTTTACCTAAAAGCCTCAATCCCAATATTCAATACAAATCAACAATCACTTCTTCCTTATCTAATCAACATATGGCAACCCATCCCTATCATATCCCAAAAACCCAAGCAAATAAATCATTTTTAAATAAAACTATATATCTGTCATTTAACATACAAGTGCACTAATCCCCAACAAATTCAAAATCAAAATGAAACACTCCATACACATGACACATGGCGCGAGGTACATTTTCATCCAATGTTTCAATTAAATTGCAAAACTAGTTTTCATCAACTTATTCAAACTGAAATATCTTGGAGCTGATTTATCTGAATTGACTTTTTTAGCCTAATATACATAATTGATTACGAGCTATCCAACGAATATATTTATTATTACTCTATCAATATTTAAATATTTGGCCTAATTAAAATTGAATTTATTATATTTATCATTTTAGTCCCCTAACTTTCCAAATTTAAAATATAGTATAAAAGTAAATAAATTCTAGTATATGCGAATTTTTGGGACTTTACAATCTCCTCCTGAAATATTTTCGTTCTCGAAAATCACCTGGGCTAATTGAATAGTTCTGGATACTTAGTTTTAAGCTCATCTTCCTTCTCACATGTTGACTCGTCTTGTTCATAATTTCGTCATTGCAATTTAAATAGGAGAATTTCTCTGTTTCTGAGTTGATGTACTTTTTCTATCCAAAATTATTGTTGGGATTTCTTCATATGATAAATCTTTTTGTACTTTCAAAGCTTAGTAACTTACCACATGACTAGGATAATGGACATATTTTCTGAGCATCAAAACATGGAATACATTATGCACTACTGCTAGGTCAGGTGGTAAGGCAAGTCTGTATATCGACTACCAATCCTTTCAATAATTTCGAGAGGTCCAATGAATCGCGGTCTCAACTTCCATTTCTTTCCAAATCTCAATACATCCTTCATTGATGCTACCTTTAGAAAAAACTTGTTGTCCGCTTGAATTCTAAATCATTTCTTCTATCATCAGCATAACTTTTTTGTCGGTCTTGTACTGCCTTTATTCTTACCTAATCTTATCAACTACCTCAACTGTTCAATTATTTTCGGACCCAAAATTCTATTCTCTACGACCTCGTCCTAATGGATAGGAGGTTCTGTACTTCCTACCATAAAGAGTTTCATATGGAGCCATGCCTATAGTGGCCTAGAAACTATTGTTGTAAGCAAACTCTACTAAAGGCAGGTGTGTCTATCAACTACCGCCAAGATTCAAAGCACATGCCCTCAACATATCTTTCAGAGTTTGGATGGTTCTTTCTAATTTTCCATCCGTCTGAGGATGATAAACAGTACTAAACTTTAGTTTCTTCTCCATGGCTGCCTGCAAACTTTTCTAAAATTTAGATGTGAACCTCGAGTCTCTATATGAAATAATGGTGACTGGTACTCCATGTAATCTGCCTATTTCTTTAATGTATAACTGTGCAAGTTGTTCCATGTTAAAATTTATTTTGACTGGCAGAAAATGGGCTGATTTTGTCATACGATCAACCACTACCCAGATAGCATTGTGACTTTTTGCTGACCTCGGGAGGCCTACCACAAAGTCCATCATTATGTGTTTTTATTTCCATTTTGGAATATCTAATGGTTCAGCAGTCTTGACAGCTTTTGATGTTTTTCCTTGACCTGTTGACAAACAATACATTTCTCCACAAACATACCAATTCTCTTCTTCATGTTTTTCTACCAAAATATATCCTGGAGATCTCAATACATTTTCGTACCACCTGGATATGCAGAATAAGGGGTAGAGTAAGCCTCTTCCAACATCTGATTTCTTATACTTTCATCTTTAGGTACACACAATCTTCCTTTAAAAGTTAGCACGTTATCTGCAGATACTTCAAATCCTATACATTTATTTGTACCAATCTCGGCATTTATCTTCTGTAAAAATGGATCTTTATCCTGTGTCTCCTTGATTCGATCCCGAAGTGTAGGTTAAATCATGAACGCTCTTATTCTCGTTGTATTCTGAGTTGGTAGTGTGATAACTTCCAATCTCATTTTCTCAAAGTCTCTTATCAAGTGTTCATGCACTGTGCGAAAAATTGCTAACTACAATTCTGTCTTCCTTCTTGAGGTATCTGCGACTACGTTGGCCTTATCCGGATGGTAATGAATTGTATAATCATAATCTTTCACTAACTCTAACAATCTCCTCTATCTCATATTTAGTTCCGTCTGTATGAAAAAATATTTGAGACTCTTATGGTAGATTTCACACTTCCGACCATAGAGATAATGACGCCATATCTTTAAGGTGTGAACTATCGTTGCAAGCTCCAAGTTATACGTTGGATAGTTCTATTCATACTTCTTCAACTGTCTCGAGGAATAAGCAACCAATTTTCCATGCTGCATCAGTACACAACCCAAATCTTGCTTGAAGGCATCCCTGTAAATTACAAATCCATCTGAACCTTCAAGTATCGTCAATAAAAACATTTTTTCGTCTATTAAAACTTCACATCCTTTCTTGTCAACTGAATCATCGGCCTTGCTGTTTTTGAGAAGCCTTCAATGAATCTTCTGCAATAGCTAGCCAATCCCAAGAAATTGCAAACTTTATCCATACTGGTTGGCCTTGGCCAATTTGTTACTGCTTCTACTTTAGCAGGATTTACTTCGATTCCTTGGGTGTTAACCATGTGACCAAGAAAACGTACGTGATCAAGCTAAAATTCACACTTCTTGAATTTGGCATATAGTTTCTCCTTCATCAAAGTTTCGAGTACTACTCAGAGTTGTTTCTCATGCTGCTTCTTATCCTTTGAGTACACAAGTACGTCGTCAATAAATACTATGACGAACTTGTCTAAATACTAATGGAACACTCGGTTCATGAGACCCATAAATATGACTGAAGCGTTGATCAAACCAAAAGTCATGACAGTGAATTTATAGTGTCTAGAACAAGTTCTGAAAGCAGTTTTTAGTATATCACTTGACCTGATTTTTAATTGATGATACCTCGACCTCAAGTCGATCTTTGAAAACACTGTTGCACCCCTTAACTGGTCGAATAAATCTTCTATTCTTAGTAGTGAGTATTTGTTTTTTTATGGTCAAAAGGTTCAATTCTCGGTAGTCAATACACATCCTCATACTTCCATCATTCTTCTTCACAAAAAGTACAGGAGCGCCCTAAGGAGATATACTTGGTTGAATGAACTAATTGCAACTTCAATTCTTAAAGATCTTTTGGTGCCATTCAATAAGGGGCCTTGGATACTGGAGCTGCTCCAGGAACTAAATCAATTGTGAATTTCATTTGCCTATCTTGTGGAATGCCTGGCAAATCTTCTGGGAATATGTCTGTAAAGTTTCACACGATGTTAATATCGTTAACAGTCGTTTATATATGTTGGGAACTGATGATATTAACTAGGAATCCTTGACATGACTTCTTTCTCAACATCTTTCCACTTGTATAGCCGATACAAGAGGAGGTAGAGACTTGAACTTTGCTCCAAAGAAACGAAACTCTTCCTCTCTCGGTCTATGAAACAATACTTTTTTCTTATGACATAGAATGATCGCATGATTAAGTCTCAACCAATCCATACCTGAAATAACATCGAAATCTTTCATATCTAAAAGGCATAAGTTCGCCTGTAATATTTTCCCGTCAATTTCTAACTTCATAGCCTTAGTTATGTGATTTGTACAAAGAGTTCTTCCTGAAGGGATGCTAACCTCTAAATTCATTATTCGTTTTCATACATACAAAGTTTGACCTAGCAACAAAGGATGCAGAGATTAAAGAATTTGTAGCCCTAGTGTCAAAAAGTATGTAAGCATATACAAAAGATAATAACAGAATACATGTTTTCGTAATTACAATGTTAGACTAGCGACCAAAGGGCAAAGACTAAACAATGTGTGGTCCTAGGTAAAAAGAATATAAGCACATATGTTAAAATAATAATAATAATAATAATAATAATAATAATAATAATAATAATAATAATAATAATAATAATAATAATAATAATAATACCTGGTATTACATTCGGATCCTGCTTTGCCTCATGCTGATTCAGTGCAAAAACTCGGGCCTTTCCTTTCTTGTTCTTGTCTTGATCATCATCTTTCTTCTTTTTAGGCTTTGTATAGTTGAGAGCAATGGGTCCCAACTTACCACACCAGAAACACATGTTCTTCTCGAGTAAGCATTCACCCATGTGGAGTTTATTACACTTAATATTTGCATTCGTCCCACCGATACGAACTCCTGTGCTTGGCCTTTTATTCTGCCAGTTACATTTGTTCTTGCTCTGATCCCTCCGCTTTCTTTTTTCCAACGACTCCTTGCTCTAATAGGTATATTGTTCAAATGTGATCATCTGATATGAAATAGAATGAGCCCTCTCCAACATTTCACGGTATGAAGTGAAATGATGGAACATAATGATCATGTCGATCTCTGGGCTCAATCCATTTTTGAACCTCCTAATCTTCTTAACTTCAGTATCCACCAAATGTGGGCCATATCTTGAGAGCTGCTCAAATTGCCTTTCATAATCAGTAAGCGACATGTCTCCCTGCCTGAGCTACATAAACTTTGATTCCTTGAAGTCTCTCAAAGCCTGTGGAAAATATTTTGCATCACTTCATCCTTAAACTGCTCTCAAGTCAGGTTATGTTGTTGCTCTTCCATCCTAGTGCGTGAGACAGATTCCCACCAGTGACTAGCTGCTCCAACAAACACAAATTTTGTGCATAGCACTTTCTGTGCATTCGTACAAGCAATGTGTCAAAAGATACACTCCAAATCTCTAATCTATTCCTCAATAGCTAGTGGGTTGAAACCACCATCGAAAGTCGGAGGTTTATACCTACGAAACTGCTTAACCACTGAAACAGCTCCTGAGACAAATGGAGGTGCATTTTGTTGTGGCGATGCATTGTGGCGGCGGTGCTTGACTCTATCTGCTCAATTCTTGTACTCATAGTAAATCGCTCATTAAGTTCCTGTGAGTAGGTGGTGCTATTGTCAAAAATTTAATATGAAGTCACCGATCACATTCCAATGCTAAGTCTAAGAAGTTATACTTATTTTATCGTAATATATATCATAAATTTAGTGGGAAAACACACGTGTATGTCTTAAAAATTTAAAGATATGCCATTTTAAAATATTTAATTATACAAAAAGTCTAAGTACATTCATCTTCTTACCCCTTTACATACGTTAGGGTCGTCAGAAGGTGGTCAATTGGTGATCATTGAATGCCTAAAGATCTCTTAAATTCTTACATATTTTAAATACACACATTACATAACATCTTTAAATTCATTTTTTTTTAACGATTACCATAAAACTTAGACTAAACTCCTGACATTTATAGTTTATTATACATAACATTTATGATTATTAAACGTAACATTTGACATTAAATATAAATATATATATATTTTCACTTAATCGTCTTACTAAAATAATTATACAAATCTTAATAATATATATATTACATAATATCTTTAAATTTATATATATAAAAGATTATTAATTTTTAACAAATCTCCCGTAAAAATATCCCATAAAATTGAAGTTATCAAATAATTACTTATTTCACAAGACAAAATAAGTTAATCTCATCCCCATATACATCTACAATATATTAAAAGTGTGAATTGAGGAGAAACTTTTGAATACCAATTTTACCTTATATATTCTAGTTATATGCCCATTTTACACTTATTTGATTTTACTTTGTTGATAATTAATTGAAACTTTTTAATACCAATTTTACCTTCCTTACGTATTTAATATTCAAAAGATTATAAATTGCATGTTTCCTTAATGTAATAGATAATATAACTATTTAAATATAAAGGACAATAAATTGAAAAGAAAAAAATTGCTTAAATGTTTTCAACAATTAGGGGAGAACGAGTCGAAGATGGTAGATAATATCTATCAATCTTGAAAATCATACTAATTACTCCAAATAATTGGGAGTTACTTACCCTTCCTATATTTGTATCCATCTCACTAAATACAAGCTTCGCATCTGAATTACACATTTTTCACTAAAACTTTTAAGTATTAATGAAAAATTAATATTACGTGTTCTAAAAAATAATTAACATAGTATTGGATATTTTATTATTATTGCATTATCATTTTTGTATAAACATAAAAATTGATGGTAATCCAGTTACTTATTAAATATAATTATATAAAGAATTTTTTTTTTTATCTCGATACATTTAAAAGGAGAATTTTTATTTCTTCATTTGTATTAATCCCATTCAAAAGAAAAATAAAATTTTTGTTTTAAGATTTTTCACTTTTTATATCCCTTTTGAATGTAAGTTTGATTTTTAATTTAAAATAAATACTATGGATTAATATGATGAGCACGATAGGTATGTAATTTTTATTTTTATTTTTTTTGGTATTTAGATAAGATACTTTTTTTAGTTTTTTACTTTTGAAGGTAAAAATGTTTGTTACAGGCAAAATGAGTAGTTTTTTATTTTGAAAATCATTTATATACCTTTAGTTTAGTTATAAGTAAAAATTTTAAACTTAGTCAAATGTACATCTCTTAATTTCATTCTTTCGTGTCCGTCTGTACCACAAAATCAGTCGTTGTCGCTATAATGGTTGAAATAAGGCCCAACCAATGTCTAGCATAAACAACAAAGTAAACAAAATATTACATTTCAATTTATTCAACATTTTTACATTATTTACGTAATTTCATAAAACTTTTATTCATATATATATATATATTCTCTAACAATTTAAATTTTTTCTTCAGCATTATCAATTATATTTCTTTATAAAAATATTAATCATATCATTCATTTCGTACATAAGACGTACAACGCATGTGTTTACTACTAGTATATATACATATATAAATACACAAACTTTTAACAATTTTTTGAAATCCCTATCTTTTCTCCTTTTTTTTTAGTTATTACATCGTAATTTTAGCTAAAAAAATATAGCATACCAATGCATGGACTATTATGAAATTTCACAAATTGAAAAAAACTAGTAACTAAACAATTTAGTTATCATTGTGGCTAAGCGTAAAACTTATTTTAAGGAAAGTATTCCTAAAAAAAATCCACAAATATATACATATACACATATATAAACTATTTCAAACAATCACCATCCCCTTTTTTTATTCATTATTATTATTATTATTTCTTTTTTTCCAAACCATTCACGGTGTGAATAGTTACGTCACTGGTCAAGATTTTTTTAACACCCAATTTGTTTTATTTATTTTTATCTATTTATTTATTTTATTTTTTTTAAAACTCATATGAAAATACATAGGGTCTACAGGAAATTAAACCTAAGCTTTTATAACAAATTGTAAGAACCCAAAAATTAACAATTTAAAATCGTTACTAAAACTTTTATTCCATAATTAAATAAATTATTTAAACATCCCAACATGAAAAAAATTGTTTCATCAATAAAATAAATAAAACCTACGGGAAACATAAGTAATTGAAACATGTCCCAAATCTTAAATAGCAAATTTCACAAGAAATAAAACAAAAATAATGCTAAAACTAAAAGTTCATAGTCATGCTACTCCAAATTTATTTATTTTGAATTCCATAATTTCTGGCATCACAACTCCACTGCATCACCCGCCAACCAACGATCCGTTCTAATTTGTGAGGAGTAGGAAGAAGGGGTGAGTACATGAAAATACTCAATAGGATATAAAAAATTTTGGTGCAATCTCGAGTAAAAATTTTAAAACATGTATAAGAAAAATCATACCGTTTCATATCTTTAGAAAACAATAAGAGCTCATATCATATCATTTGAACTGAAATGACCATATCGTTCATATCATAGCTTTAACTTTCATGAGTACAATAATTCATTAACATGAAAAAAATTAAACGGGATAAAATAATTGCATCTCGATATTCTACCTTATTAGATAAAACAATTTTCTTTCGAAAAGCAAAATCCGAACTTTATTTTTTGTCTTTGTTACAACAACCACCGTATATGTATATCTATGTTTTTCTAGAGTAAAAAAAATACGAAATTTTGTATGGTATTTTGAGTTTAAAGGAAAGCTGAATTTTTATAGGTCTAAAATTCTGTCAAAAATCGTGTTTTTTTTGTTTACCTAAAAGCCTCAATCCCAATATTCTATACAAATCAACAATTACTTCTTCCTTATCTAATCAACATGTGGCAACCCATCCCTATCATATCCCAAAAACCTAGGCAAATAAATCATTTTAAAATAAAACTACCTATCTATCGTTTAATATACATGTGCACTAACCCCCAACAAATTCAAAATCAAAATGAAACACTACATACACATGACACGTGGTGGGGAACATTTTCGTCCTAGGTTTCAATTAAATTGCAAAACTAGTTTTTATCAAGTTCTTCAAACTGAAATATCTTGGAGCTAATTTATTTGAATCAACTTTTTCTTAAGCCTAATATACATAATTAATTAAAAATTATCCAACGAGTACAATATTGATATATTTATCATTACTCTATCAATATTTAAATATTTGACCCAATTAAAATTGAATTTATTATATTTATCATTTTACTGCCTAACTTTTCAAATGTAAAATATAGTATAAAAGTAAATAAATTCTAGTATATGTGAATTCTCAAGACTTTATAGCGGGTATTTTATATTTGGGATGGCATGAGTGATGCTCGATCTGGTTGTGATTGTTGC